AAATATCACCGAAATATGGTCAGTCACTACAGATCTACTCTTCTCTGGGGAAAGCAAATTGTTCCCCTATTCCGTGGAGTTAATAAATTCTTTGTTATGAACTTGAACCTCTAACAGGAAAAAAATATTTGTTATGTGTCATTTTGTGCTTCCTTCTAAGAAATGTTTGTCCTGGTAACCAGAAAAGGTTTTGCTTTCTAAGCATGAGCTCTTCACCATTTGTCTAAAGGTCTCTTACCTTCCTAACAGCCTCCCTTGATGCCTGAAGGATGAGTGGTACAGCAGAGACCTGTGAAAAAATGAATTCCTGTCCTCACAGATCAGAGTCTCTAGAAGCAGAGCCTGAGGTGAGAATTCTTGTGTGAATGATTTACTGAGGAAGCGTTCTCAGGAGAAGGGATGCAGGCTAAGCAGTGGGGGAAGCTCACCAAGGATGTGGCCTCAGGCATTAGCTTTAGCCTTCAGGAGCTCTGGAGCATTAATATGAACACAGAATTGGCCCTACTAGAAGGAACTAAGCCAAGATTTTGGATACTTTTCTATCAGTCATTGACTGTGGACTGCTTGATGGGACGGGATGAGGGTGACCATCTAACTGCCTGAGCTAAGTGATTCCAGGTGACTGGGGAGGAATGAGAAGTGACAAAATCTGGGGGATGGGCACACACACATAAAAAGGATCTGGTTAGAACACTAACAGCATCTACCACACTGAATGTCCCTGGACCTCTGTTCATAACTTTGAATATCTATATCCATCCTCTCCTTACAGGTGAACTCTTCTCTCTACCCCTTAGCACCATAGAACCATAGTTTGGCACCTACCAGCTTCCTACCCTCTGCTCAATCTTTGAGGTAAGTCAATCAAGCAGTTTCACCTATTCCATTTGTGGCAACATGGATGGTGGGCCTTGAGGGGATTATCAGAAGAGTAAGACAAATACTGCATGATTTCACTCATTTGTGGCATATTAATAAAAAAGGAGCAATCAAACAAACATGCCAAAACAAACCTAGACTGACAACAGAATGGTGGTTACCAGAGGGAAAGAGGTGGGGATGGGACAGGAGGGGGCTGATTGGTTGGTGGTAGCCCGTGATGGACATCTGGTGGTGGACATGCACAGTTACTGAGGTGAGAACTTGTACTCCTGACCCTATGGTGTTGTAAGCTCATATTACCCCCCAAAAGATAAGTAACTACATACATAAGATCCCATGTAGTTTGTAAGGGGTATTCAGCACAGATATTATCCCTTCCTATAGATATATTTCTATGCTAAAAACATTTTGTTGTTATTTCCTATTTTTATAAAATGGAGGGATAGTCTTGATTACTTCTAAACCTCATTCCAGTTTAAAAGTTTATTTGCCAAGTAATTTTATTCCAGAAGGCAGTTGTTGTGCTTCTATTTTTTCCAGGAGTGAATCTCACAAAATCATTGATTAGAAGCTCAGTCTGGTGTCATTGATATACAGTCAGGCACCATTAAGAACAAAACTTGTGAAAAATCTTCTCTGTGTCAAGGAATTCACTTCCATTTGACCTGACCAAGATTGTTTTATCAATAATTAATATTACATTTTCTGGACAATTATTAGGGACATATATTCTTGTTATATTATATTAATTGTCCAGAAAATGTAATATTAATTCTCAAATTCCATACTCAAGGATCTTTGTCATGTTTTTGCAGTGCAAAGACCAACAAATACTATCATTTCCATTATGGAAGAAATTAAGGCAGTAACTGAGTCCAAACACCAAAGCCATCTCTCAAGCGTCCCTGTGTGTGTCACTGGGACAGGTGATACTGAAAAAAAATCTTGATATTCATAGTCGATGACAGGTTCACCCCTACCAGACACTGGCCCTTTGTGTGACTTAACGCATCTCTTCCGGCTTATGAAATGCAGAGAAGTATCCCCTCTGAGTCAGTCAACTTACCAAAGAGAAATTCTGCTTCCTGACTGTAATGTCTACAAGGAAGCACAGGATCTGGTCATTGAAGTGCAGACCAAGTTGAGACTCTTTCTCACCCAGACCTGTGAACTGCTTATCCGTCTACAGCTAATGCATTCCTGGGCATGGGGGTCCGGTTATTAGGACCTGGATGGGGGTCGATTCTTTAATGCGACCTTTCATCATCTTCAAAAGACATCATGCCTATAAAATCAAGCTTCAGCCAAACGTTGTTGAAACCCTCCAGGACTGAAGGCCCACACGAGTTTCCTCTACATACCCTCTCTGTATGTGTTCTTGATTCACTTTTGTCACTTGCCTGGGGCCAAGGGCTCCCTACCACTTTAACTGAAGCTCTAAAGTCACTTGTATAGAGGGGTTATACCTGGTGTTGCTGTGCTAATTTGTGCAGATTTTGTTGCTTGGGAACTTTCACAAATGTCAAATCACTAGCACAACAAACATTTGAAATATCTACCTTTGGATTATTTCTCTAAAGTTTGTGGAAGGTTAGCACCTATAAACAAAACAGAACCCCAATGATTCTTCCTCAACATTGAAATCACTGCAGTGTGATCACCTGATGTTTTTACTCTCAACATTGCAGTGGGGAAAGTGCGGAAGAAAAGAAGGCTTTGGTTAGTTATATAGCTAAGCAGATAAAATCTATTATGTTCACTAGATACGCTAGGCTTATTGCTGAAATTTTTGTTACACAGGAAAGGGGATGATGAGAAAAAGGGCAATAAGGAACAGGAGATAAAAATTGCTTTAAACATTTTAATAGTAAATTTCCCTCCCCCATTTTGTTTATACTTCATTAATAATATCTTCCTAAGGTGAAAAGTTAAAAAGGCAAAATACATTAGGTTTAGGTTGAGAAGGATGTTAAATTATGTGTACACTAAAAAAGAAAATTCGGGGGTCCTCTTGGTGGCACAGGGGTTAAAGCACAGCACTATGAACCTATCTGTAGCCATTGTAGCATGAGTTTGATACTGGCCAGGGAGCTGACCCACATGGCGCAGCAGATCTCTCCTGCCTATCCCGCCGCTCCCCTCAGCAGTGTGTTTCAGTAGAGCTGCCTGTTCTGCTCCCCACTCTGTCTCTGGTGAGTCCTCTCACCCCCTGTACCTCTAGCCTGTGCCCAGGTTAAATAAATAAATCCTGCATAAATAAATAAATCCTTCAAAAAAAAATAAAGAAAATTCGGGGGTTCTTTGAAGTAAAAAATAACTACATTTTTGGTAAGAAAATTACTACAAGTTTTTTCTGACTAAGGGAAGAGTATTCTGTTTTCTACTTGATGGAAAGAATAACCTGTTAAAGATGAGAGCTCATTACCATGGGGAACCATTTAGGAAATGGAAGGATACTCAGATGAAATCCTTTATGTGTAGACATGTTTGAGGGAAAGTTTCCACAATCCACAAGGAAAATTCTGGTTAAGACATTCCTATACTTTCTGCTTAAAAAAGATAGTTCACTAATCTCCACTCTTTCTTTCTTAAATAAATTACCATAGACCTGAAAGTCACCTTTGATGTTTACTAGAAAAATTGATTTTTCCTGTAGCATTATGATGAGATTTTTTTTCCCCAAGAAAATGTTTTATTACATCTTCATTGCAAATCTAATTTGTAATTTGTCTCTGACTGACTTAGTTAAGTTACAGCTATACGCTGCAAATGTCAGCCAACTGGCCTGGAAAGATTCTTCTAATAGTAGAGAGGTGGAATATAAAGGCAATGACTTTTTTTGTACTCTGTGCAATACATTTTTTAATTTTAATTCTTTTTTTTTAAGATTTATTTATTTGTGCATACAGAACTGGGGTACAAGGCCAGAGGCTCAGGGGCGGTGAGAGGCTTCACCAGAGACAGAGTGGGGAGCAGAACAGGCAGATCCACGAAGTACACTGCTGAGGGGAGCAGCGGGCGGGTCAGGAGAGGTCTGCCACGCCATGTGGTCACCTCCGCGGCAGGCGGGAATCGAACGCACGCGGAAGTGGCTTTAGCTTCAAGTGCTGTGCTTTAACCCGCTGGGCCACCAGGGAGGGCCATTAATTCTTATTTGTATATGGCTTGTTACTGTTTCGACAGTATAAGACTCACCTCAGGGCTCGTCACTCTAGCTCCTCTCCATAGTCCTTCACCATTGTCCACATGCTCTCTTCCCCCACCTTACACTCACGGCTCCACACACTTTCCTTCCTTTCCCTCCTGGATGCCTCAGATCTACAGTCATTTTTCAGGGGCTTAATGTGTGTCTTTGACCTTTGTTTGGTTTTGCTACAGTCCCCATATAAATGAACCATTCATTGTTTTTTTTTCTTTTTTTAAGTTTCACATATGTTTGTCAGCATTCTAACTGAAACAAATATTTTTAAAGTGCTGCAATAAGCATTGTTGACCATAAAAATAAAAGGAAAAATACAAATTATGTCATAATAACTCAATAATACAAATGTTGGTCAACCACGAGAGACATCTAGCTTTAATTAAGTATACTAATCTAGCAATGCGAATTTTGATTATCTTGAAAAAAATTGGAGAAAAAAATGGGCTAAAGAGTGGCAAACAGATTTATGTAAATAATAGTATATGGTGTGAGTAGCTGAATAATAAGTATAAATGTGAAAAAATTAAATTGCTCCCGCTGGAGAATTTGAACCTACAAAACTTTCATTCTCTAAAGGATCTTATGTTCCTAGCTAGTTAGGTGTGGTTGACCACTTGTTCACATAAGCTTCTTAGACCTTTAATATCAAGTATTCATTCCAGAGAAGAGAGATGTGCTCATGGAAGGCCCTCAATCCCACAAATAACTGGACAAAACTCCAGAATTTCAGTGCAATTATAGCTCCTTTCCAAGAATCCCATCATTCACCTCTATGAGTAAATATCTGTCTACCTCATTGGCCTGAAAATTGTACTACATCAGAAAGATGGATCATTTAGCTTCTTGTCGGTCCTGGGGGATATAAACACAGCCCATAGATCTACCAGCAGCTGACTGCCTGGTAAATGTTTACTTATAAATTAGCATGGGTGATAATTTATTAAGGTAATAAGCACAGATTACATTTAACGGCTTAGACATTATGTGTTATGAGCACAATATTTTATGTTTAGTTGACGCAAATGTATATGATTATTAATACGATACCCAAATGTAACTCAGAAATTGTGAATTAGACAGTTGAAACCAAGTCAAGCCATGTATTATAGTGCATCAGCACTTAAATTAAGGAAGATTTCACAATGGCAAAAAATTATATGCTTCATCAAGAATTGTTTATTTCTTAGATTGTCTTAGCTTCTGTTACTGAAGAACATGGCTCCTCTCTTGACAAGCATCCCACCATCAAAACTTTGGCATCTGGAGCTTCGGTGAGTAATCTGTCAGCAGGGACACCATGACAGCCTGGATGACACAACAGAGACAGAGAAAGACATTACCAAGTGTGCTAGGGACTGAGGAAAGGGGAACTGGGTTGCAGAAAGTTATGAAGGCCTGCAGTTAAACATGTTTTCCTAAGAAAATGATAAGAGGGCAGTTTCAAACTTATACTTACTTTTGTCTGAATAAAGGAAAGTCAGGAGGAACTAGACTGACCCAAATATATGCAAAAACACAGTGCTTACTCAGGCCTCCCTCCAGGACACGTGGGTGAGAGGATTGAAATGAGATACCACTGCGGCAGCTATGATTGGATTTTCCAGTCCTAAGTGGAACCCAAGAATTGGCTGGTTTAGAGAAACATAATCCCTCCCACTGTGGTTTGGTCACTTGCAATCTTAAGAAGTTTAGGTTTAATCAGATGCAGAATAATAGAAGTAAATAGCTTTGGTTAATGAATAATGTCTGCTGTGTGAATCTGGGTCATTGTGAAAGAGCATTAACTTTGTAGCCAAAAGGACACCTTCCCTTAGGCCATCAGCCACACATGGTTATTTTTACTTTTACTCTTACTCCTGTCACAATAATGACAATAGTAGAATAATGCGGGAAACAGCAATGAGCTGTTCTTCAGTATTTACTATGTTTCAGACAGTGTGGGTAGGTGCTAGTGTCTTTTGTGTTACTCAGTTAAGAAACATTTGCCAGGAGCTGTGCTAGGTGCTACTGTGAGCTACAGAGAAATGGCCTCACACTTCTTCATTTAATGCAACACCCTCCTATATCATTTATAGAAAAGGAAATCAGTCCTTTTCTATGAAGGATTGTACTGAGAGTATAGCAAATACAGCAGATAGTACTGATTTCTCTGACCCCACTCAAGAGGTAGTTTTCCTGCCTGCAGGTGTGTGTTTTGCTCTTTCCACCATACTGTACACCATACCTGGCCTATGCCAGGGGTGTGGGCCTTATATTTCAAAGGTGTTCATTGAATGTATTTATTGGACAGTTAGCATATATTGGACCCTGTGACAAGTGCTTTCTGTGCATCATACCAGTTAACATTCTTATCTTCTGTGTGAGGAGGGAAGAGCTATACAAGACAGAGGAGGAAACAGACACAGGATTTTCTACATGTTGGTAAGGAGTGAAGCTGTACCTGCTTGTCCCTAGGACTTAACCGTCACATTCAGATGACTCGTTTCATTTAAGCCTCACAAACTTATAAAGTTGTTTCTACTTGAATTTCCTTTTCAAGTGAATAAATGGGGCTTGGAGAAGTTAAACATTTGCTCAAGATCACACAGAGAGCCTGAATTTAACCTGATTTTCAAAACCTGCATTCTGGTACCTATACCTTATCTTGCCTTCATGCTACAGAAAACTATTGAGCACTTATTTCAGGTATTTATGAGGCATCATTCTACATACAGTCAAGATCATTATAGCAAATCCTCACTTAATGTAGTTGATAGGTTCTTGCAAAGTACAATGTTAGAAAGAAACCAGGTTTTCAAACATCAGTGGATTTTGCGTTGTCATCAACATTAGAACAAATAGCATTTAACAAATTGTAATTTGAGGTCCTGCTGTAGAGACAAGCTCACTGCACATGTTATAGTAGAGGACAGGGCACAAATAGACACAAATAAACTATCAAGGGGTGATAAATGTCTTAGGAAATGACACCAAAATGGGATAAAGGAGGCTGTGGCACAAGCTAAGCGTGGGTGAGCAAGGAAGACCTTGAAGGAATGACATTAAACTTGAGATCTGAATGACAATAAGGAATTAGGAAAAGCAACTCTGAAATCAGAACATACTCCAGGTAAAATATTGGCACCATATTGCACGTTTCATTTTGCTTTTGATGGTCATTACATGTGTCAAATTATTTCCAAATGTAAAATCTTAGAAAGTCAAGTTGCAGCAAAGCTTCCAGATTTATCAAAGTAAAAAAAAAAAATTCAGACAGACTAAAATACACACAGGCATGTGTGCATGCATACATACATAGATATAACCATTTGAAAGTTACCAGCATATCCAAATGTTACATGGGACAGATCTAAGCAATTAGTAGTTGTTTATCTGGCATTGCAATTTAATAGGAAGTCCTGTATTTTGCCTGGCACTCCTCACTTGGAATGAGGTAAGAGATTATAAATGCTGTGACTCACATTTGCAATGGGATAGATAGATAGATAGATAGATAGATAGATAGATAGATAGATAGATAGATAGATAGATAGATAGATGATAGATAGATAGATAG